GTAATAAATAAAAAGAAACAAGAAATCCATATTTGCACATCTATACATACTTACTTGAGAATCAAAACTTGCACTAACTGGCTTGTGGTCGGATATCTTTAGTTCCGGATGACTTTTGTAGTAAATTGATTTAATCATATCTCCTTTCCATAGTACTCGATCACACCAAGCTGGAGCTCTGCATTTCTCGCTATACATAGTTAGACATAAAAAAGAATGGTATAAAAATATTAGATTGAAATTTCCTTAGTAAATTGCGTTTTAGAAATGTAATATAATTTTTAGGATACCTTGAATCCCAGTTGTCGGTACCTGGATCATATTTATATGTGGGTTTAAAATCAATCTCTGCTTCCTGAAATCCTTGAAACACACGTCCTGCTTTGCGTTGGTGTCCAAGTTGATCCAATACTAAGACGGGACTATAGATGCCTTCTGAAATGTACTGCTTAGCTGTTGCAGCATCCATTTCCGTTATCCGATAATTTAAATCTCCCAACCAATAAATCTGGCTATACACATACACATATGCTCATATATGTATACATATATTTATATTGCTTCCTTGCTTTACTATGATACAACTCAAAAAATTAATAACGAATTCGGTTAAACACATTAGTTTGAACTAATGCATGTTAAAGCTATTGTATATTGATTTAATCCGTATACAAAATGTAAATATTTAAAATTATAAATTATAAAATTGTGAAGATTTTACTTAACAGTACAATAAAGCGGGCGGCCGCTTAGATTTGATAGTAAGTCGGATTTACTTAATGCTTTACTTGTTAAAAATTATATAATGGTATAGAACTTTTCGATTCAGTTTAGTTTGCTTAATTTGCATACAAGCACTGTATATAATTAGAGAATACTCCATATAATATCATAGAAAACTTACTCGTGATCCTTGAAACTTTTAGGTGGTACATATTTCGTAAAAGATAATCTCGCACAAATATCAGCATAATCCTGGTTGCGTCGCTCAAATTCTTCACAATGTGCAGCTAAATGAGCATTAACAAAGCAAACAGCCGTATTGTGAATACAACAACTTACTGCAACACCACCTTTATTGCCCTATAAGAATTTGCAATAAAGTATTAACTTTTGAAGCGCAGTGTTTTTATGTATTTATGTAACACCTTTTAAAAAATGAAAAAGTATAATTGCACTCTGATTTCTTTACAACTTCATATTAAGTAATTGAGTTATGAATCGAATCTGAAAATTTTTGAACGCGAGCATGACATGGCAGACAGCACACTGATCTATCATGCCAAGGGTTCGATCCCAGTAGGAATATAAAACCAAAATAATTACGCTCGTGTCTCCTCTCGGAAAAGGCCGGCAACCTCCCGAGAGTGCCCACAGAAACACCTCTCTCAAAATCTGCCGTTCGAAACCGGCATTAAAACTGTAGTTCCCATATTCTTGTGGCAATTGAAAAATCAGCGTGCGCACCACAAACATATGAAAGAGGTGTAATACAGGCCAGAGGCCTAACGTGAGAAGTAAAAATTCTAAATTTTACAATTGTTTACTCAAGGTAGTTCAAAGTTTTTGATTTGTATTATAGTATTTTTGAGTCACGAATTTTGGAACGTCATATATAATATCTTAATATGTGTATAATTATAAAATATTTTGTGTATTAGAAACTTACCAACTTTCCCATAATTCCCGTTCCTACTGTATCAGTACACACATTTTCGATGAATGGTATATGAGCTTCAAGCGCATATACTAACAACATCATACCCACTAATCTGACAAGAGCTACTTGTGTATAATTCCCTCCCGGATGAAGTGAATTAACTATAACTTGTCTATGATAAAATTTTTTATGTAATTATAAATAATTTTTCATTATGATTAATTACTTAAAAAAGTTATTTGAGATAGGCAAAATGGATACACTATTTTACTTTTTCAAAGTTGATACAAATGATATATATACCTCCATTCTTCTTCTCTAGGAGTTTCATGAAATAGAAATGCTTCTTTGCTCAAATCTAATTCCTGGAATCCGATAGCATATATATCTGGTGGCATTTCGTCCGTGCTCAACCATTCATTTAATTTAATGTTATTTGGGGGTTGTCCATTTACATTCCACGTGCAAGTAAGTATACTGTAATTATTGATAACAATCATGTTACATGTATGATCATTATATGCACAAAAATACATTTTTAAATTGAATTGAAACAAAGGATTTGGGATATAATCATAATAATGTAAAAAAACAAACCGAAATGTTTTACTATATGTGTAATCATCTTCTTTACAGGCCATCTGATATCGTACCACTGATTCTCTTGCAGCTACTGGGGATCTACCCGAGGCAATGCTTTGTCGTGGTATCGCTAAATCATGACTTTCAAGATTAAGCAACTATAAAAAATAAATTTGTATTAAAACACGTTTCATCATTCCTATTTTAAATTTCTATAATATTAAGTATTATTATACTAACTTACAGAATCGGCAGTATCCTGCATATCTTTGCCACCAGTAGCCAAGTTTCTCCTATTTCTTGTTAGCTTTTCAATCCATAAAAATTCCTCTGCAGGGCTTTTAGCTGTTTGATATACTAAAATCACAATTATTCTATTGACAGATAAATGTCTTCTACATGAAAATTATATGTTAGATAAGTATGCGCATACTTTCTATCGCTCGAAATATTTGTGATACTAAGGAACTGGTAGATTCTCCAAGTTTCATTTCAAATATCAGACGAAGTTTTCTTGATGTAATATTCATGTATATATCAAGACCATCCTGCGCTTCTCCATTAGTATCTTTAATTAAAAAAAAAAAATACTTCAATAAAAAAATATTTAATAATTTTTTCCTTTTTCTAAGAAATTTATTTTTTTTTAGTTGTATTACTTTTAAGGCAAAGAAGCAATGCAGTTCTTAAATTAATTGAACTACTTAATATTAATATTAAAATTATTACTACTTAATTATTAAAATTATTAATTTTTATACAATATTTCAGCCATTATAATAACACTGAAAAAGTATTATATTTTGAAGCAAGGAATATGCATTATAATAAATACAATATAAATTATAATAAATCTTAAAGGAAAGATTTTTAAAATAAGATCTCATAGCTCCTAAAGATTAATATATCGTATAGAATTAATACATAATACATAGAAAAGCTTGAGATACCTATACTACATTTGAAGTCCTGATCAATAGGTAACATTCCTTCCAAGGTCAGATCACTGTACACTTGCGGTGGTGTTTTTGAAGTTAGAAAAATTGCTAAAGCATAGGTTGTACCTTTGTAAACAAGAGCAATATATCTTGAAGATTGTATCCATCCTTGTATTAATGACGCTTCTGTGGTCTAATATTATACGGTTCAGATATATAGAATAATAATATATATTTATATTTGTAAAAATATAATTGTAACTCATAATAGTAATATCGAATCACGATAAACTAATCTTTAACCAAATAATACGTGATTAAAAGTAAAGCTGTTATTCAATAGCAAATTGCTATTGATCGCAATGATACAATATATCTATTATTTATTAAGTTTAAGAAAGGATACAGTCAAAACAGTCTCGCCTGACACGAACTTGGATTGCACTATCGCTAATGATTCAGATGTCGACATCTCGTTTGATCTCTTGGTTCTCACATACAAATAATTGGTTAAAATTTATTACTATCTGAAATATTGTACAACTTGTGCGATTTATTCTATATGTCATAATACATAATAGGTCGGAAATAAAGAAAATAAACAAAGCTTCTTTCAACAATTCACTCTCGCACCTTATAAAAATCTCAAGTAAACAAGTAACCGGAGATTAATAGATTAGACAGGTTATGTCTTATGCCCAGTATTGCCAACCACCTATATGGTCTATATCTTCACCCTAGATTGAATTTAAAATTCCCCCAGATAAAAAAATGTTGATTTTCATTTGAATGCTTCTCGGGTGTCATGTCATTCTTATTTAATGTTTTATAAACAATAACAGAGAGAAACTTGAGAGAGGCTCATTGAAACATATAATACTACTAGAAGCTAGTAGCACTGGCGCTAGTTTGACGATCTGAGCGTTTCAAAAAGCGTTTTAAGTAGTATCTTCATCCTTCTTTAATTATACGTATGCAATTACAGCTGAGCACAGATTAGAAAAGGACAAGGATACCACTTGGAATACTCTCTCTCGGATCATTCTTAACAAAAGTCGCATAGAGTTGCGCTTGTTCATTATCGCTGAAGTGATATACGGAAAAACAATAATACTCCGAAAATTATCTTTTATCCCTTTTCGCGATTTTTTTCCAAAAACGGAGCAAAAACGAAACATATCTTTGAAAGACTTTTTTTATCGATTTCCTATTGAAATTTGGCCATTTAAATTTAGAACACCTTGTATACATGTACACACACACACACACACACACACACAAATATATTGTTGCCTATGCGTGTGGTTACAATATCGGTATATTTGAAATCGTTAAAAACAAATATACGGCAATTAAGTACGTATTACCTGCAACATTATAGATTTGCGTGATATTGCTGAGATACATGCTTAGTTCTGAGAATTTATCAAATAATTCGAGCTTCTGCTTTATTTTTTTTCTTTTATCGACGCTTATCCGTATGTATTAAATTATATATTTAATTATATAATTTTTATTTATTTGTAAGTAACAAATTAATATGTTATGTCAACGATTTGATCGATGATGGAAAGTTACATTTAATTATTTTATGTTGTATATTGGTTCTTTATCTCTTAAGTTATGAGCAGGAATATTTTTATATATTGGTTTTTTTCGTCCTTCTTCCTTCCTCTCTCTTTTTCCTCCCTTCCTTTCTCTATACTTCCCTTTCTACTTCTCTGTATAGCGCAGCATCCACTATCGAATGCGCAAACTCTACATCTGCAACATCTCTCGGAAGGGATGATTTGTCGCTCAGTATCGAAAATTCGCACGGTGCAAGTATAGCTATGAGACATTTATAGCTATCAAACAAAGCGATCTTGTTATAAATTCAAAATTGTGAAGCGAATAAATTTCGATTGTGGAAATTACTACCAATGTCGAATGGGATAAACGCAAAGGATTGCGTCTTTTCACATCTCAGGTAAAAGGAAAGCCGCGGAGTGTTAGATTTGCACCACCGATGGCAGATCACGACAATATTTATGATGATGAGGTAATTAATTAAACCATCTTTTTAACTTGCTATCATATACTATATCTGAATTTAAAGTTTGAGTAATTTTTTGCAAAAAAATTCGTTTATTTATTTTTTAATAGCCATATAATATGATGTGACAAATTATAATTTTCTTTAAAAAATATTTTATTTCTTATAAACAATAATGGTATATTTTATTTATGTTACTCATAAGTTAATATTATTAATGAAACTTGGAAAGATAAATGCGGATATGCAAAAAATATATAATTAATATATATAATAATAAAATAAAAGATTAAAATTTTCCATAAATAAATAAAATTTTTAAACTTTTTTTGAAATTTTTATACATAAAACAGCAATTGTTAGCATGAATGCTCCTTAGAATCGTTATAAAATCGTTATTTCTATTTAAGGACTCTGTGTGTGTGTGTGTGTGTGTTTTGAATAAGTTATTTTTCTCGTTTTAATTATAAAAACATTATACAATATTAATTATAATATTCTTTAATGTATATATTACAAATATTACATTAACAAAAATAATTGTCAAGAACATTTTTGTTTAAGATGCCTGATCAGTAATGCAACCATGTTGAATAGAAATGAAAGCTAATAAATTATTTTAAATAAAAAATTACAAATAAAATATTTATTACAAACACACTCATACATACAATACAAATAAATGCAATGTTGCAACAATAATTAAATAATGAATTGTACTTAATCATTTTACATATCTGGTGGAAAAATTTCACTTTAATTTCAACGATTTTTAGTTAAAAAATTTATTTTCAGCAAAATTACCGAGAAATTTCAGCAAAATTTCAGTTCAATTTTAGCGATTTTTTAAGTATGTCAATTAGCTGAACAATTCATTTTCAATAAAATTTCAACAAATTTTCAGCAATTTCGCGAAAATATTCTAAAACGTGGAATAATTTCAGGTAATTTTTTCATCGAGAATGTGCATTATTTGAAGATAGTTTCGAAAAGTCCAACGTTTAGATAGTTTTGATTACTTATAAAGAATTAGAATTTTCATAAAAATTTGAAATAAATCTATTTTAAAACTTATTTTCAAGAATGTGTCATACATTGATATGCATTTTTCTCTTAACACATTGACGTACGCAGCGCAGTACGTCGCTTTCCTCGCTATTGATTTTG